TTTTCCTCCAGACAGCTGAGAACAACCCTCATCCTGCCTTCAATACTTCCAGACTGATTATTCCAATTATTCCTCTTCAACCTCCTGTGACCCCTCCACGCAGCAAACATTGTCCAGTTTCATGTTCCCCATCCAATCTGTCTTTCTGTTTGTGGGTGAGCTTTCAGCCATTCTGACCCCGCTCTTTGGAACACCACACAGAAGTTCCTCTAACCTGCCCCTCTCTTCCCATTTTCAACACCTACCTTATGACTGTCTTTTATTATATTTTCAGCTACCTTCCCCCACCACCCCCATCCCTCAACACCTACCCTCCCCCATCCGCCACAAGCTCGGCTGTGCGAAGCACTTTGAGATGACCTCCTGATGCGAAAGACACTACATAAATATAGATTGTAATTATAAGATAGAGAATGTCATCAAGAGACAAATAAATGTTATGGTTACTCAGAGAGAGAGAATGAAAATATGTGTTTTTGTGTGCAAGAGAAACACTGACAAAGAGAAATAAAAACTAAAAGAAAGAAAGGTGTCAGTCTGGCTCAGTTATTCTCCTCTCTGGGTCAGAAGGTTCTGAATTCAAACCCCATGTCGGGACATTGAGCTCATAATCTTGGCTGACATTCAAATGTAGGACTGGCAGAGTGTGCTACATTGTCAGGTCATACACACTGTGTTATTATTTAACAGTTAGAGAGAAGAGAGAGTCAGGAGAGAGTGGCAGAGAGAGAAAAGGGTTCGCAAAGTGTAGTACTACAGTAACTAGTAAATCTTGATGGCAAAATGTTTTGGTTGAACCATAGCCAATATTTTGCAAGCTGCCCAATTATCCTCACTGTTTGCTTTTCCACACTGGGACCAGCCCAAATTAGTGCGGATAATAGGCTTTCTACTGTAGTGTAATACACTCCTAAATCTAACATTTCAGAACAACCTAGAGATTATGGATTCACATAGTGCATGGGTTAATGATCAAACAAATTGAATTATGCACTTGTTTTCCTTGGCCAACACCTAATCCTGCATTTAATCAGAGCCACGGGTTATTTTCAAACTAATTAACCAGATGACGAATTTGCCAAGTAACATTACACTTGGATCAGCAGTTCTGTGTGCCAAGCGTCAATAGAAGTGGTACATCAGGTTCTGCGTGTGGAGCTGGTATGGCTTTATCCAGACAACTATATTACCAAGTTATGTGACTGAAGATTAATACCAACCTCACTTCATCTATAGGGTCATGCACTAGATATAACTCCTCAGTAATGTAATCAGGAATATCAGAGACAGAGTGAATAAGGCACACAAGTGCTTATTGCACTCTGAGGAGTTTGGAAGGTTTTTGTCAATTCAGCTGACCGTAATCATGGTACCCCATTAGGTCCAATTATTTTACAAATTTCTTTTAGGGATATTGGCAAAATACCTTCTGCCAAGCAGGAAGGCTCAACTCTGTTACAAAGAACTGCAGCAAAATAATTAAATAATCTTGCTCTGAATAATTTGCAGCTTCAGATAAAAACTAAGCAATGCGGAAGTAATGTATAAAGTTACACACACATACACCACCCCCCCCACCCCACCCCCAAACACACACATACATATCTACATGTAAGCAAAGTTACACCAAATACATTCGATGCTGCAAATGTCTTTAGAGAGAAACCAAAACACTTTAGAGCTAAGCGTTTTGCTCTATTGCGTTATTTCATCCTCTTCACCTGCCTCTTGCAATTTACCACCAGTCACAGGATCTCTTTCCTGCGTAGGGGATAAAGAAACAAGTCGAATCCACAACTATGCAAACTTGATACCAGCAAACTCTCACTGCAAGCACATTTTATACTCGTGCTAGTTCGTTCCTGAATTAGCCAGTACCAGTTCCTAGATGCAAATTCTCTATGGGAAGCTCTATTATAAGAATTGCAAAGAACAATATTTAGCTATGAGCCTGGTTCAGTTGAAAGCACACTCACCTCAGAGTCTGACCAGAACCTTGATGTCCTATTCAATCATTAACTGTCCTTTATGCCCTACACTGGGGCTCTCATTTGGTTTTCCCTCACTTCAGGAATATCACCCACTTCTGACACTATGTCTCGCACCAGTGTTACCAGTTCCTCATTCATGCCTTCATTACAAATAACTATTGCATAATCTTTCTTGCTGGACTCTCCAGTTCCTCCGTACTCAAGCTGCATAGGATCCAGAACTCTGCAGCCCTTGTCCTCTTCCACACCAGGCTCCATAAGCCTACCACCCCCATCCTCACTGGGGTTCACTGGTGCCCCATCACCCCAGTGGATCAAATTCGAGAGCCCCGTACTCACATTCAAATTTCTCCACACCCTTGCCTTATTCTCTGAGACCGCCTCAACTCTACCATCCCGGCCACTGACTCTGCTCAACAAACACTGTCCCGCATATCACGAGGTAAGACATCCTTACTGATATGAACTGTACGAAATGTAAATTGTTATTGGGAGTTGTTGAGTCAGAAAGTTGTGGGTTACAAGCTCATTTATCTAGGCTAACACTGCAGTGCAGGGGGCACACTGCATTCACAGAAGTGCCGTCCTACAGATCAGATGTTAATCTGTTTCAATGGGCATTAAAGATCTAATGGCATTGTTCGAAAACAGAAGGAAGTTTCTCCCGGTGTCCTGGCCAGATTTTAAAAAATGGACACGGCTATTTATGGAACATTCCTGTGTACAGATTGGTTTCTGTGTTCAAGTATAAATGCATAGTCAATACACTTTACAGAAAGACTCTGTGAAAACACTTTGAGGGATTTCAATGATATAGGGTGCTATACCAAATGCAAGCATTATTATAAGTAAAAAATGGTATTGTTTCACTGTCATGTCTTTTACTTTATTTATTTCTTTAAAATAAACAGAGAAAGGGGCATAAAGGACAAAGGCACAGAAAAAGGGCAACTTGAACTTCTGCTACCCTCTGCAATTTCAATATTTTGAATGTTATCACATCGTATTGTCAAAATGTTCTTTCCCTTCATTTCTAATGCAGTTAATACTCAGCATCACTGAATTGTACAAAATTACATTTTGTGTTTCATTGTGCACACTCTAGAATGAAGATTTTGGCAAGTCCCCAGTGTTAGAGGGTTGCTCTATTTTGTCACAGGACTGTTTTTGTTTGTGACTATCAACTTTACAGAATAAATGAAAATCATTGAATCATCAAAAATACTGCAGGCTGTTTTGGCACAGAATATAATTCATATTGTTTTCTAAAAATGATGGAAAACACTGTCTAACAAGGGCACGTGTACTACACCGAAGGGGATTGGGACAAAGCAGAGAAATGATATATGATAAGCGGGCTGGAAAATGGGGGCAAATTTAAAACCAAACTTCAATTTTTATTGCAACATTTTTTCTGAGATTAGCACATTCCTCCTGCAGTGCTTTAAAACAAACTGAAATATGCGTCTCCAAAGATGTGTCCATTTAAAAAAAAACTCTCTGGTCTATCTTTGTTCTGCTTGCCCACAAATACACAGTCTCTCCACTTCACATAAATCCTGTGAAGCGCTTTGGATATCTGCCTGATGTGAAAAGCACTTTGCAAGGATTAGTATTATTATTATTATTAATAATCTACAATTAAGAAGGGTACAGATAGCTGTTTAAGACTAGGAAATGGTTCTTATAATTTTATATCAAATGCAAGGATTACTATTATTTATTCTTATAATGCGGAAGCTGACAGCCTACTTCAACTTGGTGAGTCCAAACCTAGAGGGTGTAACTACGCGATAGCAAGTAATAGATCTAACAGGAAATTTAGGATGGATTTCTTCATGCAAGAGGAGGGTGAGAATGTGGAACTGACTGCCGGAAGCTGTGGTTGAAGCAAATAGTATTAAGGCATTTAAGAGAAAATTTAATGCATATGTGAGGAAGATGGGAATAGAGGGGTACAGGCGAAGGGAATAGAAGGTGGGAGCTCATGTAGAGTAAACACAGCCATGAGCCAGTTGGGAAATGGCCTGTTTCCATGCCGTATCACTATTTAATTCTATGTAACTGTGAACAGAGTAAGATACCAACCTCTCTGAAAGAGGTAATTCTGTCCAGCGCCACTCAAGAGACATGGAAACTAAAGTGTATCACCATATTGAATAACGGCCATTAATAGGTTGAAAAGTCAGAAATTATGCAGGATTATTTCATAACCTATAGTTACTTTTTACAGGCATTTTCTTCCACCTATCCTTGTGAACATTGACAATTTTTTTTAAACAAAAGTGAAATCTGTGGCCAACTAAAAATTTAGAGTTTTTTTAATCCCATTGTGATTCATAATTGATTCATGACGCTGATCAAAAAAATATTCTATTGTTATTTACTGTGCTGAACCTGAGGATTTCCAGTTTATTCAGCAGGGATAATGGTTGTGACACACAAATGTAGAGCCCGAGAATAGACCATTAAGATCCATCTGGGCAGTTCCTAAGTAAATTGCTTATGTGCCAAAAATAAGTGTCAATCACTAAATAACTCTCCAATTTCCTCTGGAAAGTGGCAGTAAAATCTGGCATTCTCAGAGTCATTAGAGAATAGTCTTCCCCTGACTCTTAGCAGGACCAGGAGCTCTTTTACAGGATGAATAAAATCATACTCACCCAAGAACTATGCTTCCAGTCACTGCAACTGTGTAATAGTGATGAGAACCGTACGAGAATTGTAACACTGTACCAAGCAGTAAATGTTTCAGATCTCAAACTGATCCAAGGAAACATCAGGCATGAGATCCAGTTAACAACACACAATAACATACCACTTAAATCCACTCTTGCTGCCTCTGTTAACACCATAATCCTGTAAATGTCTATAAATCAATTAACACAGGTGCTCGATATAAGCCAAACCCAGTAATCAGAGCTCTTTGTGCTTATCATACCCACTTTGTGTTGACGTGACACACTGTATCTTTGAAGATTGTTCCCGTTTACTTTGCCAAGTCCCTACCTTCCGAGCTTTTCCAGAGGATCCACAGATCTTTTACTGTAATGTGCTTGTCTTCTTTATGGAAAGTGTTGCCTTTGCTGGTGGGATCTTTGTATTTCATATCTTCTTTAATAAACTGCAAAAATAAACAATCACACAGGGTAGGTTTAAGATCAGACACTATAAAGCCAAACAGTCTACATAATGCAGCATAACTGGTAACAAACTAACCCATTTACATACTGCAAACCAAAATAGTGCAATAGGTATTTTTTGTTTTATGTCATCATACTGTTAAATAAATAAAGCAGACATTGTTACAAAGCATAGGAATACTATACTGCTGGTCAGCCAAATAATACATGTGCATGCATCTCACTAGTCACTCCTAGGAACTCCTGGTAACTCTGGTGTCAGCTTCAATCCCCAGCTTTCTTTTCTCTCTTGTATCTGGTTATTTGTCTAGTATTGGCATTATCAAATGTCTTACGTAGCTGCTTACTATCAAAGGGGGCTGCACTGTCAACACAACAGCACCCAAAATCAAAAAATATTTACAAATATCTCACCACATGAGCACTTTCCAAGAATAATACATTGATCAATAAATTGCTAAAAATTATTTTGTACATTATGTATGGGAGCAAGGATTGTTCTAACTCAGCGATGGTTGACCCTGCAAGCGAAATGGGTAGGGTAGCCCTATGTGAACAAGCAGTGGGAAGTTTTGTCAGTCAGTGCTCTTCACTGCTAGCTACGCAGTTTTAGATGGTTACATTCCAGCAGTAACACAAAGTATAGTGTGGGGTCTCCCAACTTTGGCTTTTGCCAACCTGCGACCACCACTCTCTGAAATTAGGTAAGCAGGATACGTCCCTCCAGGGAGAGTGTACATTCCATTCCAGACGCAAGGAAATGTTGGAACGGAGTTGCCCTCTGTGGTGGTGTCGTAGTCTGGTTCCTGAGCGAGGCACAGCACTCCAAGGCATGATGGATAACAGACTAACTGTCCTGGCCGGTTATGAGTACTTTGGAGGAACAGACCAGGAATTCGGTGAGCAACAAATTCTATGCATGGTGTCATTCATATGTGAAAAACTCAGTCTATTTGCTAGTTTGGGTACTGTCAAGTATAATGAAGAGTTTCTGCATTTGAGAGACACCCTAAAAAATGTTCTTTTATTATTTTGCTCCCCATCAATTAAGCACTTTCGGGAGACAGGTGTCACACATTAAAAACAATTCAAATTTGGAAACCATTTGTCCAAAGAATCTAAAACTTGTGAACTTAAGAGCTGTTCCAATTCATTGGTTGGCGGGAACCTCAACTCCTAGTAGCCCTGGTGTCAGCTTCAATCCCCAGCTTTCTTTTCTCTCTTATATCCGGTCCCTGTCCCAGACCTCCTTCCTTCCCCTCTGCTACTTTGTCCGCCTCTGCCCTTATCTCACGTGCTATGTCGCTGAAATACTCATTTACACCTTAATTACATCCCACTTAGACTTTTTCAAAGCATTCCTCGATGGACATTGTGCATGGAATTTCAGAGACTGATTCTTTACAATTCCAGTCTGAACAACAACAGCAAATTACATTGTATAGTGTCTTTCAAGTTGGTAGGACTTCGGGTTGGGATCAGGAGTGGAGGGCAAGGAGGAAAGTCCTGAGATGGGCCATGAAGCAAACAAGGGAGGGAGCAAGGTGAAGGGGCTATGGGATGGAACTCCAAAGGGTGGGGACAGAGAGACTGAAGGCCTGACCGCTGATGGTTGGACGGGACGAGCAGGGGACACGGAGCAGGCTGCTGAGCAGAGGAAAGGACAGGTTGATATGGCGATAGTAGGTCACAGATGCAGGAAAGGAGCAAGGCCACGGAGCCTGGTGCTGGAGAGGACACGAGCTGCAGAGTTCTGAATGATCTGCAGTTTGTGAAGGGAAGTGTTGGGAACACCAACAAGCAGAGAGTTAGCATAGTCGAGCCTAGATGTAACAAATGCATGGATGAGAGTTTCACCGGCGTGAGGGGAGAGGCAGTGGTGAAGCAGGCGATGTTGCGGAGGTGGAGCAAGGCAGAGTGGGTCATGGCAGGGATGTGACAAAACCGATTGGTGCCTCCTTCCCACTTCTTTCATTTTTTTAAAAAAATGGATAAGACATTTTTTTTAAATAGTCACAACAACTGATATGACTTCAAAGTTGTAGTTTTTAAGTTGCTTTTCTTTAAAAAAAAGTGAAACCGTTTCAGTCACAGCTACCTGTACTGGCCTTTAGGAACATCAGAAGCTTTTATTTAAAAAAAAGCCAAAAATAGGTCAGTATTGAAAAGATAAAGAGGTTTGATGCCTTAGGATTGTACCTGCCCGAGTCTCAGTTGGGTTCATTATGTCATTGTTTTCTACCATTATGCAGGTCATGCATTTCTTTGGTGTGCACCATGCTGTAAATCATTGTTTTGCACCAACATGTATATGAGCTGCTGCTAATAGCAGGTCTCAAGACCTTTCTCTTTGACCGTGCCTTCAGCTCCCCTCTCAACTCTCTACCCCCTCCTCGCTCCCTCCCCTCCCTCCCCTCACCCTGACCATTTCCCCCCTGCTCGGGTCCTGACCCAACTGTCCAGCGCCTTGGGACGTCCTCCCGACGTGAAAGGCGCTCTATAAATGGAATCTTCTTGTTGTAGCAAGAACCAGGCAGCAACTAGCATCGCTTTATGACCCAGTTGTGCACTAAGCACTGCCTTTATCCGCTTTAACCATAAGCACTCATTTGAAAAGTATTCAATTGCTACATAAAACATCATTGATCATAAGCTTGCGTGTGTGAAATCCTGGGCAGATGAAAACAATCCTTGCATTTGATATAGGACCTATAACATTCAGTTTCTGTAAAGTGTTGTGACAGTGTATGTAGGAAAACCAATTTTGAAAAAAAAGTCCCACAAACAGCCATAATGTAAACAACAAACTCATCTAGAAAATTGATAGGCAAAACTTCTTTCACTTTACAAATTCTACCATGGCATCTTTAAACGTCCACCTAAACAGGCAGACATGACTTTGGTCTCATGCAAAAGATGTAATCTCTGACAATGAATGCTTCCCCATCACTGCACTGGAGTATCAACCTGGATTATGAGATCACAGTCCCAACACAGAGCCTGAACCCACAACTTTCTATCCCAAGTGTGAGACTGCACCACTGAGCCAGGCTGACAACCTAGATAGACTTTCTAAGACCCCTTTGTAAATCCAGGCACTAAAGTGAATTATTTCCTACTGAATGATTTGTAAGACCTGCATGTCCCCCAAGTTTATTCAGGTTTTTAAACACAATCTTACTTCCAACTGGTACAAATCAACAGCATTCAAAATTGTGGCTAAATGTTGACTGAAGCTATAGAGGATAAAGAGTAACTTCCTGTGATGAACTTGTATCTATAAATAAACAGTTTCCGGGTCCAAAACAAAACTACAATAAACGGATACAATTGAGTACTGTTTTTAGTTCTGATAACCCTCTTACCACAGATACTCCAAGGTAATAAAATTAGCGTACGTACATATACAAAACCACACACCACCTACGTCATCAGCAGCATTTGCAGCAAACTTGTCATGGCGTGCCTAGCTTCCTAGTTCCACCATAATACAATGAGCTTCTAACAATTTGTATATTTTTTAAATGGAGCTTTGCATATATTTATGGCCTAAATATAGGAGCAGCAATGCTGGTGTGACTACCCTGGTATCTTCTGAATGCAAAAGATATGCCGAGTCAAACAAAACAGCAAACATTTTTGTGTCTATGCCAGTCCGTAGCTGTTTATCTGCAAGCAGAGGTAGTAATTTCACATTGACTTTTAAGTCAATGTTAAGAAGGTTTGTAAGCTTCATGACCATCCTCCTTGGGGTGAGTGGGCTGGGGGGACGGGAAGTCAAGGGAGTAAGCAAGGTCTCCTTGGAGCTGAACTAGCTCCCACGAAACGTCATATATGTTTTCAGGATGAAGGATAATGATCATCCTTCCCACAACTGGCTGAAAATTTGAGTCCTTGCGATACCTTGCTCATTCATATTTTTGCATGTCTCTTGAATTTGACCTCTGTGCCTCCTGTGACTTTTCTGCCGCAAGTGCTTGGTGAACACTTGCCTGTTTCACGTTCCTCATCCCATCATCAGTGGACAAGCTTTCAGCCATTCTGCCTCCGCCCTTTGGAACTTCATGCCGCCTCCACCTTGTCCCTCCCTCCTCTTTCAAAACTTGTTTGAAGACCAATCTTTTCAACTGCCCTTTCAGCTACTGTCATCCCCCCACCCCCCCAAAAAAAGTTCATGATTTGCTTTGAGATGTCCACCCAACATGAAAGGTGCAATGTAAGTGTAGGTTGTAATTATGTACTGGAGAAATCAAGTTTTGTTTTCAATTGTGTCTAATAGTTACCACGAACGAACAAGCTTGCAAGAAATCAGTTCTCAGTCCTATGATACCACTGATTGCGCATCGAGACAAAAAATTATGCTCAGTATTGAAAATTATGCTAGTGTGCATAGTTTTCCATATCTAGCATCTATAAAGATAGATAATATTCAGCGTAATAATAAACCTTGCATTTGATAAAGCGCCTTTTCACGTCTTTGAGATGTCTCAAAGCGCTTCACAGAATATATTGTAAAGTGAATTGATTGTATATTTTGTGGGCAAAACGTGGCAGCCAATTGCACATATAGATTGAGTGACAATATTTTTTAAGGAATTATTACTCCCAGAAAAGCAATCCACCAATCAACTAACAACCGGGTTTCTACTTATGCTAGGTAAACAGAAGCGTGTGAAGTAAGGAAATTTGTCCAAAGTTCGCCCTGATGAGAACCAAATCCAAGTCTCTCACTTGCGGGGCGAGTTATAGGGCTCCACGTTTTTACATGATCTCATAATGTTTGCAAGATTATCAACTCCAGCACTACACGAGTCTATCAATGTAATTTCACAGAGTGCATAGGATCTTATGCTTGAGGGTCAGAATGGTTCGTTGACAAGCCTTGGGGACAGAGTTGTAATACCTAAAGTGAATCATATTTTGGAAAGTAAGAGAAACAACATAAAATTGCAGACATTATTTTCTAATATAAGAGATATCT